CTCCAACTCACGTTTGACACTAGGCAGCATGGGTAGGGGTACTCGCCGCGGATACGTAATAGCACTCGGCTTGGCATCGTGGAGTAATATCTTGTATTCTGTATTGAGAAGGCCCAGGCCTGTAGTCAAGTTGGGGTAGTGGCAGAGAATGTAAGCAGGGGCACTGACCTTGATTGTTGACGCTGTGACTTCGAGGAGGCTTGGAAGGATATCCAATGAGTTGATTGCTGGACGTCCGAGAAGTGCATCGTGTTACTTGTCGATCACGTAAATTTCTTCTTGACACTCTCGGCCATTCCAGCACAAGGTTGCGCTAAACAGACCTACTGTTGCGATTTTGGTCCGGCCGGGTCCCAACAGCTGTTTCTTGGCCTGCTTCAGGTTGCCCATGACTTGTTCGTTGTAGAGACTTGTAGGTATAGCGGTGACATCTGCACCGGTGTCTACTTTGAACTTCATTGCAAGCCATTTGCTGTAACGTCAGTCCTCCACGGTCCAGAGTCCGTTGATCGGTCAATTGACACAAGTAAACCTTTTCCAAAACAGCTTGGTGAGTGCTCTTTTTCTTCCTCGCAGAGGCAGATAAGCACACGGCGGCAAAGTGTTCTTTTTGCCGCAGGCACTGCATATTTTCCAGTTTGCCGGGCACATAGCGCGTGATGGTGGGTGCGTTGTTGAGCCACACCACTTGCACGTCGGCACAGTTTGATGGCGCTGTGTTTTTTGAGAGCGCTTATTTGGCTTTTCTTTGCTCTTCGAATATCCACGCATGGCGTCAACAGCCGCAGGCACCTGTTGCTGCGGCCGTAGATCTTTTTGCTGCAGCTTGATCGTTTTAGAGTTGCGTGCAGCGGTGACAGTGGCTTCGAGAGTCAGCTCGGCGTTAAGTTGCAGCTTCTCGCTTAGCTGCGTGTCTGCAAGGCCGACCACGAGCCTGTCGCGAATCAATTCTTCTTTGAGGTCTCTGTACTCGCAGGTTTCGGCCAGTCGGTAGAGTTCGGTTACGAACGCGTCGACTGACTCATGCGCTCCTTGCTTCCGGCTGTTGAACTTCGCCCGCTCGTATATCACGTTCGTCCGCGGCACGAAATTTTTCGCGAACGCTCGTGTTACCACGTCGTAGTTGAGTTTCTCAGCGTCAGAAAGTTTTAGCGACGCCAGGACATCTTCTGCTTCACGGCCCATCGCGTAAATGAGTGTGTTCACCTGGGTTTCGTCGTCTTGTTTCTTCAAACCTGAGATGACGCTGTACCTCTCCCATCGTGTAAACCACCGCTTCCACTCCTCAGGTCGCCGAAAGTCGAGCTTTTCCGGCAGTTCGACGACGAAAGGGTTGAGCGGGGTTGCAGGCTGAGCTGTGGGCACTGTAGGCGTTGCCATAGGTGTTGCAAAGTTCCGTGTTCGATGCCGGCGTTTGTTAGGCCTACTTGTTCGGTGCCCTCTTCACAGCGTTGTCGTGTCTTCCACGCATCCCACCGCTGCCACCATGTCGTGGTCGGGAACTGAGAACACGAACGAGCCGACGGATAACGACAACTGTTTAATGGTCAAAGGATTGGATTAAACCATGCGTGCTAGGGCGGCTACATGTTAGCTCGACAGACACGGTCGCACACACTCGCGCCAGCAATCTGCTGCGCCGAATCGTCGTGCGCGTCACGTGATGCGGTACGCATAGCGCCATCTCATTGTGGCTGCGTCCACGACATGTACAATACAAGTATGTGATCAGATTTAAAGCACCAGCCTTTTTAATTAATTGCTCATCAAAATTCCAACTGTCCTTGAAGATAGAAGATTCATATTCCTGTAAAATAACCAAGAAAGGCCGAAAACCTAAAGCTCCCGCTTGCTTTCAATCTCTAGTCATTAGTCAATGTTACCATGTCTTAAGTATCTTTTTTAATTATGAGAGAGAGATGCAACTTTATTAAAAAAAAAAAGTCCACCGAGTTGTTCAGGGATCTGGGCAGAGATCCCCGCATAGGTATCGGCCAGGAGCCCTTGAGCTTTGGCGGTGGCCTCGGCCCGCTGGATGGCCCACAGTTGTTTTCGAGGGCAAGGTTGAGCAGAGCACTCTCCCAGTGTGTTCGGTTCAAGGCTGCGTCCTTGTCTGGAGCCCCACCTCTAGCACACTCCCATAGCATGCGTTCCAGGGTTGCCCTGGCCTCGCAAAACTTGCAGCGTGACGCATAAAGCTCTGGGTAACAGAGATTCATGATGAACGGGTTCGGAAACTCCCTGGTCTGCAGCTGTCGCCAGGTGACCACCTGCTTTTTGTTCAGTTTTGATGTAATGGCGGAAATTTGCACCTTGCCAATCTGTAATGCTGAGTGATATCTTTGAAACTGGTGAGGCGATCCTCCCACTCCCATTCCTCACCCGACGTCGTGGCCGAGGTGGCGGTGATGGTGGCGGTTCGGTCCAAAAACCCTCGAGCCACCCCGTGCGCTGCCTCATTGCCGGCAAGCGAGGAAGTGTGGGCGGGTGCCCATAATACGTAAACATCCCTATTTTAAATTTTGCCCGCAAGTAAAATTCATAACGCCTCGGGAGAGACGCAGCTATTGGCGAAGTTTCGGAATGCCGTCCGAGAGTCGCTGATAACCACTTCGGCCGTGGTGGTGGCCACTGAAATCGTGACAGCCACTTCCTCTGCCGTCTCCACGAGCTCCACGCATGCCGCGATACTAGTCTTGCTAACGTTCTGGTGATCTATTACTGTGGCCGCGAAACTACGCCTGCACGCATATCTGGCCGCGTCCACGAACACTGCCGCTTTATATTTGCCATACAGTTCCCCTGTATGTCCTGTGCTCTCTTTTCCCATCTATCCCTGAGGTATTCGGGGTGCATGTTCTTCGGCAAAAGAAGGATGACCAGCCTATTCCTTACGTTGCTTGGTATGTCGTGTTTGACATTGTGCTGAGCGTGATATGTAATTCCTAAACTTTCTAGTATGTGTCTGCCAGTTGTGTTTTTGGAAAGGCGCTCGTACTGCGCTATGATTTGTGCCTCTATTAAGATTTTTTTTTTTTTTTATGGCTGCCTAAATAGGGGGTAAACTTAAGTTATCTCAGGAACAAGATGAGTAACGGGAAAAGCAATTACAGTCGAACCCCGCTACAACGAACGCCGCTTCAACGAAACTTCCACTACAACAGAAATTTCATGGTTCCCTGTCAGCAGTCCACAAGAGTCAATGCATAAATATTGCATAAAAGCATAATGCATAATATTGCATAAATATTATGCATAATGCATAATGCATATTATGCAATAAATATTTGCATAATGCATAATATTGCATAAATATTCCATAAATATTGCATAAATGTTGCATAAATATTGGATAAATATTGCAAGAGTCAATGCATAAAAACGAACACTTTTTCTTCTGCCGTCCCGCTTCCACGAAATCCAGGATTAGATATTTATCGCTATACAGGAAACCCAATCTTTAACACTTTAATGCATTTTGAGAACCTGAAAATACGTCGATGAAGTCTAGAACACGCGTTCGCACCACCAGAAACCGCCGCTGTTCAGCAAGCATGGACGCCGCCATTGCTCAATGGCGATGGCAATGAGACTGCCCTGCTGCATGGGGGATGGCCCTGCTTTTGCCACTGGCTTGCTTTTGAGACGCAGACGATCCAAAGCTGAAGCTCGGTCGCATTTCATGGTTTTCTTCATGCAGCTGCAGCAGCTGCTGCATGCCACCGCGGAGTGATGCCTTTTCTGATTCTAAAGCTTATGGTTTTATTCGTGCTTGGCCAGTGTGGTACCTAATCAGAGCAGCTGTTTGTACGTATTATCAACCAAATCAGCTAGCCGCAAGTGATGGATGATACGAATGGAATAGAATAATGCAAAAGTCACCGCTCCAGAATAACCTGCCTCCATCTCGGCGTTGTCAGATACACATGACAGCGGGCGGCTGCTGCTGTTAACATGTTGATGCAACTGTTTGGTACATTTACAAAAGCGACTGTAGGCATTGTTTCAACGTGGTTTTCACAATAGCCTTGCTATGCATGGCTGTGAATCGCATCATGAGGCCACTAAAAAAGAATAGAAAGCAGCTGACACGTTTTAAATTTTAAGAATAAACGTTCCTTTGGTTTGCTAGCTCAGATCAGCTATATTTTTTCCTATTTCACTACAACGAAAATCTCGCTTTAACGAAATATTTTCTGCGCCTTGTGAGTTTTGTTGTAGCGGGGTTCAACTGTGCATATTGCCACGTTCCAGTTCCCCAGTTTTGTTATCGTCCCAAAACACTACACAATTCTCAGCGCAAACCGCGCCTGCAGTTTTCGAGAAGCTTCTGAACTGTAGTAGATCATTTCAATGAGATCCCGCCTACTCTGCGAACTGTACAGATTATTCTGGAACCTACGCCACCGCCAGCGATAACGCTAGAACATTCGACGGCAAGAGTATAAATGCCGATGCGCTCCGCCGCTTGTCAGTAGTTGATCGACGGCCGACGCTCTGTTCGCCGCTATCAGTCCAAGACTGCTACTGTAATCGGACTTTCCGTTTACTGGGCACAGGTTCGCCCAAATAAACAGTTAAATTCCAAAGCAAAGTCTCCTGTCTTCGGCCACGTCATGACCCCGTGACAATATTTAAAATCCGCAGAAAAAACTGCTAAGCCCGTGCAGTTTTATGAAGATCACTGAAGAAAAAATAAACAAACAATGTTTTAAGATGGGTTTGCCCTCAAGTCTAGGTCTGCAAAATTTCAGTGGTGACACATGCATCTCCTAAATGACCACGTGTTACAAGCAACCGGCTGCAGTGCCCCAAGCTGCTTGACCCTGTTTTGGCTTCACTTTTTGCAGCTTGTTCTGAGCCCTCCCCTGTGTCTAGCACACTGTACTTTTGCTAAGGCAGTGACTTTATGATGAACAATGCATCATCACAGTGGTTGTGTTGGAGCGACTTGCTAGGCACTGAAAGGGCAAGTGGTTAATACAGAAAGCACAACTCACCAGCTGGTGACTTTGTGAGAGCGCCATCACTGGCTGGTTCTAATGGCTGTGACGGAGAAGGTGGCTTCAGCATCAACTTTGCTGCAGCTTCTTCAGCCTTGCGCTCCTTGAACTCTGCTTCCTTGGCATCCTTCAGGATGGCATACCTTCAGGAAACAAAAGCACGGTTAAGCTTGAAGCACACAACATGAAAGCAAACTTAAATAACTACCACAGGCTTCCCTGACACATCCCTTGACATACGCAATGCTTCCAATCAAAACATCGCAGAGAAAGTGACTTTTTCAAAATATATGCACCATCATCCCATCGACAGCAACATTGCTTCATGTACGAAATGATAAAGAACCCTTGGAAATTTGCCTGTGCCACAATATCATATTTTCTGCATGAGCATAATTAGTATACGTGGCACCCCAAAAATCACCAAACATGGTAAACAGTAATTAACAACTAAATATTATTCTGTGCATGTTTACGTTTCTTTTTTTCACTCTACAACTTTTTAAAACTTACTGGCTGTCAAATGGGACATGAGTCACATGGCAAAAGAGCAGCTGCTGATAACAAACATTTTGAACAATGCAGCCATAGTTGTAAGTCCTGCTGCTGGAAGAGTTATGAAGCACAGTTTTATAGCATGCGATGAAACATAGCAATAAACATACAGGAGGAAGACTAACTACACGAAAATACTCAAGCAGACATTACTGTGAGGCTACAAAAAGAAAGACAGCGCCCCCATTCATATATTCAAGTAAGATATCACTGGCACATCATTCGTGGCAATTCTCAGTTTACTTGATCATGCACATTATTACAGAAAAGCATTCACTATAGAGGAGAACGAACAGACATTCCTGAAGGTTATGACAAACAATTTTTTACAAACTTGGATGCGAGGATCAGGAACTGTTTTTTGTGCATTGAGATCTTTTCTAATCGGACAATGTAACAAGCACAGTGCTCATACAACTTTCAACCTCTTCCTTTTTACAATAAGCAATGTCCAGCTACCTTAAACACTGGGTCTTAAAATTTCTTCCAATATGTGTTGGTGAACGCGGTATTGCAGAGACACATTTTACAAAGGTTAGCGATGCAGTCCCTGCTGTGTATGAGCAGTTCATAATTATACTAGATGTAAGATGCCTGTTCAAGTCAGTTTCCCATTTTGTTCACAGAAAAAGAAGCTGCACATCTCTGAAGCTCTTGTGGGACTGAGAAGAGCTAGATGCATGGTGGTAGTTTTAAATGAGTAAAACTACCAGTAGCTTTATTTGGAATTCGGCAATCTGGAGGTCTGGGCTTGAGCAGCTTACATATGGTCAGGTACTATTTTCATTTCTTTCTGGACAGTGCTTAAGGGAGATGTTCATTATAAGTTTGGTGTGTTTAAAGAAAATGCTACTTGAGAGTTTGTGCTCCTGCCATCCACATGTTTTCATCCAATCTGCAAACTTGCCATTTTTGTTCCTCCATTTATGAAGCAGGAACTAAGAAATGAGTACATGAAAAACACAGTTCGGTATAAAACATGTGCTGTGCATGCTGATGAATATTGTACAATACGTAGGCATTAACATGTGGGATTAGATCATGGACAGACGATATACTTCTTTGGAGCTCCATTTCCATGAAAAAAATATTCTTACAAAAGACATCAAGTAAAAAGATAATGAAAGAAAGGTCAATTTACACTTTATATATTCTCATTCTTCTTATATCTGGCTTGCTGGATCGAAATAGAACTGTATTCTATTTCAGAGGCAGCCCCGCTTTCTATGCAGTCAAGCTGCATTTGCGAGTGCGTGCATTTGTTTTTAAGACCTTTTTTTATTTACAATACCTGCAGTTGTGCAGGTGAGTAAATGAAGCAAATAAAACTATAAAAATGCAAAATTTTAACTGCACAAAGCAACAGGCAAAACATATGCTATCATGAAAGATGCACGTGCAGCAAAGATGTATGCAAAACTACACCTCGGGTATACGCACAACTTTCTGGGATAGTTTGTCCTACTTAATTACTGCATGAGGGTAAGGTGAGTTCCCAAGGATGACATTCTATTTCACATGTTTCTATTTGTGCACATTACTAAGCCACAGAGGCCGTGAAGAAGATCAACAGTTTTAATAAACTAAACTTTATAGAGAAATTTCAACTTTTCAGTTGCCAACACATCAATAAAACATCCTACAATAGCTGTCATGAATCAAGAAAGAACGTGGTAAGAGCGAAGACAAAGCATACAAACAAACCCCGCACCAAAACTTATTCGGCTGAAAAAAAAAAAAAAAAAGGTATTGGCCACGATGAGTTATGGAGTGGCCCCCTATCGGAAGCGTCGTCTCAATGGGTGCTAGGCAGGAAACTACTTCCGCGGTCCCTCGAGGTTTTGCTGCTGGCACTTCACGAGAACACCTTACACAAGCCTTCCAGGACATTTCTGTAAGCACTTTCAATGATCATGATATATGTGGGGTTAATTAAACGTCCCAAAACCACCATATGATTATGACAGACGCGGTAGTGGAGGGCTCCGGAAATTTCGACCACCTGGGGATCTTTAACATGCACCCAAATCTGAGCACACGGGCCTACAACATTTCCGCCTCCATCCCGCCTCCATTAGAAATGCAGCCGCCGCAACCGGGATTCGATTCCGCGACCTGCGGGTCAGCAGCTGAGTACCTTAGCCACTAGACCACCGCGGCGGGGCCTCTCAAAGCGGTCCTTGAACATGTCTGCCATACAACAACTCGAATGGCGAGAAGCCCGTACTGGTCTGCGGTACTCCGCGGCACGCAAAGAGCAGAGGTGCCAACGATCGATCCCATGACTTGAGTTTTTCTTGACTCAATTTCCACAGCATTTGCTTCAACGTACCATTGAATCACTCCACCAAACCATTACACATGGGATGGTAAGGCGTCGATCTGACATGCTTAATGGCTAACAAATCGTTCACTTCTCTCATTAGCTCAGATGTAAAGCATGACGCCTCATCGCACAGTATCTCATTAGGAAACCCAATGCGAGAAAACCTTTAGATTAATCCCTCGGCGACAGTAGCGGAATCAATCGATGGCAGAGCTACCGCGTCTGGGTGTCGAGTAGCGAAGTCTACCAGTATGTATGTAGCGGTTCCCCGTATGCGATGTGGGCTTTAAAGGTCCTATGATGTCCACCGCCACTCCTTCAAAAGGAGTGTCAATTAAAGGCATGCGACCAAGTGGGGCCTTTTCAACTTTGTTCTTAGGATAGGTCCGCTGGCATATGTCGCAAGAGTGTACATACGTTTTCACTGCCTTTTGAATGCCAGGCCAGTAGAATGCGCTTAAAATGCGGTTGATGGTCCTTTTCATTCTCTGATGCCCAGACGTCAAGGTTTCGTGAGCCAAAGCCAACACTTGACTACGCAATTTTTGGGGTAGCACCACTTGTTGGATCATTTTGTCTGAAGGTCCCTGGTAGCAACGGTATAAAATTCCCTTTTCTATCTTGAATGAGTGAGTTGCACATTTTTCTCGGGACACTTGACCAACTTTCTTTCTACATGAATCTAAAGTTCTGTCTTCTTTTTGAGCTTTGCTCACATCCTCTCTGGTCAAATTCAATGTCTTCATGTCAACCTTAGATGACATCGACCATTCTTAGCTCTTGACACCAACCAACACAGAATCTGGCAAATCTTCTTCCTTCGTTCCTCTTACACATGAATGTCCCAATTTCTACTTACTTCACGGAATTCTATATTTCCACTTTTCGTTGGGATTTCGGACTTCCCTTGCTCCTGGAATATTGCCAACGATGACATCGTACAAAGGTCTTGTCATGGATTTGACCACTGAAATACCCGAAAAATAGGGTGACTGGATTTCAACCTTTGCCACCGGAACACAATACTACTGCCATCGGCGAGGAAAAACGTATCAGTAGTAGCAGTTAGAGCTTCATCTGGCAACGGAGCTCGATGGACTACTATCGTATCGCTTCCCGTGTCTCGCAGCACTGAAACTGTCTGGCCAAATACTAGGCCCTGCAAAACCGGCATCTGGCGAGCCACAGCTTTTGGGTGAGTTCTCACCGTGCTAGCAACATTTCTCTCTGGTTCGTTGGATGGTGGATCAGTACGTTCAGTGGGTTCCTCTTCAGGAGACAGCAAACAAGATGTTTTCTTCATAGAGCCATCTCTTTTCGTGCAGACCTTAGTATCGTGCCCTGGCTTATGGCAATATCCACAGTAATGTTGTTTAAGCTTGGTTCGGCAATCCGAGGCCCTGTGAACAGCTTTATCACATACAAAACACTTTATGATCGTTTTCACAGAAACTTTAGGCATAATTAAGAGAAAAAAAGAGATGAAAATCCAATGTACAGACATCGAGTCTAACTAAGCTGACAAACTAAAACATGTCCTGTAAGTTGTCCAGCTATAATGTTTATGAAAATCAGCAGTCACCAGTGGCGTTGATGGTGGCGGTGACTTGGTGGGTTGAGGCGGCGGACGCTGGCGATGTCTCAGCAGCTGGAGTCACGCGCTGACCAGCATGGCAATGCTTGGCGGAAGACGAGGTAGCCCTTGCCTTAGCAAGAACTGCGGCTGCTTACCAATGCTGGCTCGTTTCGAGGAGGTGATCACCATTCGGAAGGTTCCACCCTCCAGGGGTGGTTCGGGACCTGGAGTTGAAGCCCAGACACCTCGGACGTGGCCTTGAACAGTCACGGCCGGAACGGACACCTGGGACGTGACCTTGAACAGTCTCGGCTGGAACTCTGGAAGGCCGCATACCTCCGAGTACACCATGGGCAGCTGGAGCGTCCTCGCCTTGCCTGACTTCACGCGTTCGGGTCCAGAACCCGACACCGCAGTCACGTGACACGCAGGATCTTCACTCTAGCCAGCTCGATCTCGTTCTGCCCCCGACTCGTCTTCTTCTTCTTCCCTCTCATGCCTTGGCCGTGCAACCTTTCGCGCAAACTTTCTCTACCTTTTGGCGGGCCGCAGTTTCATGCGTGACGTTTCGCGCCGTCATCATCGTTTTTCCGCCGCTCAATCGAGAAGTACCACTGCCGTCGCCTTCAAGCACGTTGCACATAACACCACGGTGCCACCACACTTCACAGACACCACCACGTCACTATACTACACCACAGTGCTCTTCGCTTCGTAGGCATGGCAGTACATGACAAGTTCCTGCGCTGAGTGTTACGCACGGGTACCGATAGCCTACCAAGCTCCCTCACCTGCCTGCTCTCAAATCTGTTGAAGAATGCCTGATAGCTCAACGTCAGCCACGAATGAGTGTCAGGCATTTGATTCAAGGCAGTGGCCACTATGACATGAAGGGGCAGGTGGTTAATGTGCCAATCGACATGGCCAATACTATGCAGTGCCAGCTGCTAAACGGGCCCGACAACACAGCCTTTGACATACACATCATGCGATGGCTCGTTACCTTCTTAGAAAAATGTTCTCGCCGAGAAATGCCCCCTGCACCTTTGAGCGAGCTCCTCTACATCATTCGCTTTGTGAATATGGCAGTGATTTTTTTTTTTTACATAAATAAGGCTCCAAGAAGACTCAAGTTGTAGGGGTCCAACTTGAGTTTGAGAGTGATACAAACGAATTTTGATTTTTAGCACATAGTTTTCATGTCAGGAGAATGCATAATTGACTGAAACAGTGTTATTGCACACATGAGCCATAGCATTTTACTTGCTTGCTAGGTACATATGCCAGCCAACATCGTCTATAGCTTACGAAGGAGAAGGCATTCCATGACTTGTCAAATGGAAAGATTAACCACTGGTTTGGATGTCAACATGAGTGATACAAAAAAAAATTACCACCACAGATGATGTCAATGTCGAGTCATTATGACATAGACTTGATGCTGCATAACATGACATCACATGATGAAGTAGTATTCACATGACATAATCACTTAGTACAGCTTTTGACCAACCCACTGATAACTGAGGACGTGCAAAACTACGTTAAGTACAGGAAGCTTTTGGAGGGTGGCGGGGAAGAATCAATACACCGACTGACAAGGAGAAGGAACAGAGGGCTTGCGCCTTCCAGTCACCTTAAGGGAATGCATGAGCATAGGTCAGCAAACTCACTCAAGAGTCCACTCACTCGGACTCAGATTGAGCCGTGAGTCTCGGTCTGAGCGAGTCTGTACAAGTAAAATTTTGGCGAGTTCGAATCTCTGTGAGTCCATTTGAAAAACATTTCCATCAGGGTGAGTCTGAGTGAGCATGGCTCAGAAAAATTTCGGTGAGTATGAGTTCAAGTGAGTCCGAAGCGAAGATATATTCGTTGAGCGAGTCTGAGTGAGCACAACATTTCTTTGCAGACCGAAGATCCTATCTGCTCATCATTAGCGCTACGATTCTCCTTACCTGGATTCACGTTTATACACATATCTACTCACATGAATTCCAAATGCAAAGCAGTGTCATTCATACACCATTTTATTATTTAGTGATCACCAATTCTGTAGAAGAATGCCTTGACCTGCCCCGCTTCCCACGAATTCTTCCGGGGAAGTTTTTGATAAATATATCACACATTGTCACTCCTTTCAAGATATATTACCTCATTAGCAAGCATTCGTGACTCGTATTCAAAGGTATCATATCAAAAGATGCCATGAAGAGCACCGATTATGTGAAATACTGGTCTTAAAGAGAATTAACACCAAGGTCGATAAAAGTAATTCTAGGCTAACGAACTCATGAGTCAACTCACTCGGACTAACTCATATTCAGATGGAGTCGTGAGTCTGAGTCCAGGTGAGTAACACTTTGGTGAACTTGAGTGTGGATGAAGAAAATTTTAGTCCAAGTGAGTCCGGCTCAGGAAAACTTTGGTGAGTCTAAGTCCGAGTGAGCCTTAAGAGCAAAATACATTTCATGAGTGAGTCTGAGTGAGCTCCACAAGTTCCGCTGACCTATGTGCATCAGGGACCCTATGAATTTTTTTTTAATCCAATGTGTCTAAACAATGTCCACAGCCTCTATTGTGGATGCTGAGCACGGCGCCATCGATCAAGAGGTCGCACGAGAACGTTCCAAGATGGTGTCAGCTTTGTAAAAAGTAAAAGGTAGCAGCTTTTCTTTCCTGCAGGTGATAATCTCCATTAGCCGGTGGGAAGCGTGCACGAACGATTGTCTCAGTGTGTGCTTTCTGCTACGCACTCAACCTCTCAAACGTGACGCAGCCGCAAAAGTCTTCATCGTGTAAGTACTCTTTGCGCACCTAGTGCCTAGCTTCACAACCCATGCTTGAAACAGTTTCTTGTTCCACTGGTAACTGTGTAGACTAACACCGAGCTCTGTTGCATACATCTGGCAATGCATTACCAAGCATTAAAAGCAGCATGTTTGTCACCTTCGAAGGCATCCACTCCTGTTACAATGGGTTCAGTCAAGTTCAAAATGCAAGAAAACCTCTGCATTAGAACATATCGCAGCGTACAAGGAGCTTGAAACTTGTTCAGAAAGCATGTGGCAGCTTTCCACAAGCAGCTGATGCAGCCACTGAGGTCATGTGATTCTGCCAAGCACATCACACCGACGGTGGCACGCGTTTCCAGTGGTGGCCCCGACGGCTAACATACATACATTAGAGCACCTTGTCATAAACAGAACATAATAAACCAAGCAAATTTACAGTGAAACAAAAATTTGTAATCATCTCTCAATTGGTCATCCTCTTATTAGTGGATCAGTCATGACAAGTTGGTTGAGAGATATGAAATTTTCAGTAACACTGCTGGACGAAACTCAGAACGATCATTAAACAGTACGTTTGAACGTGCCTTGATTGCTAATGCCGGAGAGCGCCAGCTGTCAAAGAAGTGGCGCCCACCCTAGGCACTATGTTCTTCTCTTCTCTTTTATTTTCCTTTCCACTTTTGCGCTAAAAAATGGCTTTGAAATAAGTAGGCTCTGTCCATTATGCGATTTGATTAAGTACTTGGTACTTCAATCGCTTAAGCTGGTACGGCACTTCTTTGCCCAGCGCAGACTTCTGCTGCAAGTCACAAATGGAATATTGTAGCTGCAAATCACATCACTTGCTACTCGGGATCTGTAAGCAGGATTCACACTGTTATGCCTGGAAGGGTGCCTATCACACGTTTGCAAAACCAGAACCCATCGCCCAGCTGACACGAGATAACCTCCATATTACACATCTGTCTGTTTGCGTTTGAAATAAGACCCCACTATGCGTAATGCATCTTCCAGGACCTTTTTGCTTTGCTTCATTTCAACCACCTACAATCGAGCTCAATGATATGCAGGTGAGCAAGAGTGTTTCCTACCTTGTTGATCTTGTAGTCTTTGTGCATACGGATGTAGTTTACCATGCTGAAGTAGCGCATGTAAAGAAAGAATGACCTCTCTTCATCACCGTCATTCTTATGCATGTCTGCTACCTCCAGAACTTTCTTCCCGCTTGTGCACAGCCTGGAACACAATATGTAAGATGTATTTTATTGCTTGCACAATGGAGTTTCAATTTATGAAAATCTCTTCACCGAAATTGCTGCTTCAAAGAAAAACGGCCATCATATGGTTGGTATCGACCTGAATTCAACCCAGAGCATCTCTCTGTAAACGAAACTCCAGTTAAATGAAACATATTTTCCTGGTGCCTTCAGAGCCTGCTATAATTTACATCTCTTGGCAACATTGTAGCATATTAATCACTCTTCACAAGACAACCTGCGCCGTTCAAGTGGCTCATCAAAGGATACCGAAGACGGCACAAGCATTGAGTCATTTTTCTCATGCCTCCTTCTGTGACTTACTTCCAGTACTGTAATGAAGATGTACAAGCAACGAGGTGATGACTCAAATTACCCTACAACAGGCAAACTAGCTTTTACCCCTTTAGACTGATGGGAATTGTAATACAGCACTCACAGCAATGGTAAGCATCAGCAGGGCAGATATCCCCATTTAGACAAAGCAAACAAACTTTATTCACATGTTCTTTACTTGGCTAATGAAGCACCTCATTTCAGCAACAGATAGTTTGAAAACATCTTTTTTTTACTTCTTGTCACATTTTTATAAAATTTGACGGGTTTGTGTATATTAGTGTGCCGATTCCAATAACACACTTATTTTTCTAGTGTTATACATAGTTTTTAAAATATTACCCTGTCATACAAGCTATTAAGACGATGGCGTTCCAGACACTGCGATCAGACTCAACTCCGTCTTTAAGGTATAAGGCGAAAATACTTGTTCATTTAACTGCGTTCGGAAGCGCTCTGCTGTCACTTGAGCATCCCTGCGTCCCTCCCTCGCGCTCTTCTTCTTTCTCGTTTTTTTGTCCCAGCCCAGAACGTGAAAAATAATCAACATTCCCGGCCGCGCAAAGTTAAACACATAGTTCAAGTGGGTACAGTCTTTGTATCGGCCTGATCGCAAGGTGACCGCCTTGCAACTTGACCTTGCAAGAACGAATGAGACCGTCTGCGCTGCGGTACACTTCCGTGACCCTTGCAAGCTTCCATAGCTGGCGTGGCGTGTTGTCCACATGCACGAGAACGATGTCCCCTTGCTTCAATGCTGTATTTGATTTCATGTCGGCAAAGTGTGCAGATCGTAATTGCAACAGGTATTATTTTTGCCAACGCTTCCAAAAACTTTCAACCAGCAGCTTCCTGTAGTTGTGTCTGCGTACGGCGTCTGATCGTTTGGAATTACTGTTGACTTCGTCAGCGGTCGCATACGGTATGGAAGTCAACCTTCGTCCAAGGAGAAGTTCGGCTGGCGTCAAAGTGCAAGGTTCTCCTGCATCTGTCTCGATGAAAGTCAGAGGCCTAGAGTTTACCACTGCTTCAACTTCCGCCAGCACTGTCGATATTTCTTCGTAGTTCAGACGAGCTTTGCCGATAATTTTTCACAGCGGAAGCTTCACTGATCGTACAAGGCGCTCCCCACCATCCACCCCACCAAGGAGCATTTGGTGCTATAAACTTCCACGAAATGCCGTTGGTGCTGAGGTGACCAGCGACGTCCTCTTCAGAGAACATTCGGTGTAGCCGCTTTATATCTGCCGATGTCTTGTGAAAGCTTCGTGCGTTGTCAGAATAGATCACCCTAGGTAATCCTCTCCAAGCTGCAAATCGCCGTAGGCACAGCAGGAAAGCCTCGGATGTAATTTCTGAGACAAGCTCGAGATGCACGGCTCTAGATACGGCGCACGTAAAAAGTGCAACGTAGCACTTCATGTCCCCTTTCTCCGTGCGTGCATACAAAGGGCCCGCGAAGTCGACTCCTACAACTTCGAACGGGTTCATTGGTGACACTCGATGACTCGTTAACGGAGCAGTCTCAGCACTTCCTGGGCCCGCACTGAAACGCTTGCATATATTGCAGCCATGCAGCACTATTTTTACCAAAGAGCGAGCTTGACAAATCCAGTAGTGTTCCCGAAGCTGCGTAAGTGTATCTCTAACTCCTCCATGTAAGACTTGAAGATGGGCTCTGTTTGCCAAAAGTGTCGAAAAGTGGTGGCTTGACGGCATTACGATTAGGTGCTTGACATCTTGTGTGGAATGCATGAGGGATAAACGGCCTCCAACCCAAAGAATTCCGTCTTTGTCTATGTAAGGGCGTAGTTCAGCGATTCGAGATGTAGACTCGACTGGTTGGCCATTGGTCAAAGTGGTGAGTTCCTCAAGAAAGCCTTACTCTTGTGTACATCTTATCCAATACTGTTCAGCGTTCCGGATTTCTGTTGCCACGAGATGTCCTGTATGATTACTTCTTTTTCTGAATTGGTCAGTAAATCTGAAAATCCACGCAGTGACTCTGAGTAGGTGCTGAAGCCTGCTGTGCCGTTGAATATCAATTATTGGAACTGAGAAGCGTGTCATCAGTGCGACGTGGACTGTTGTAACTTCACCTCGGGTGGCTTCCGCTATGTCTAGTTCACTGAACTGTAGGGGCCATTCAGACATCGGTTTAGTTAGCCACTCGGGACCATGCCACCATTTCGAGCTGCACAGCAGTCTTTCAAGCGCCGCGCCACGTGTGAGTAGGTCAGCCGGGTTGTCTGTTCCAGGACAGTATCTCCACTTTGATGGATCTGTAGTGCACCTAGTTTCATTGACTCTGTTGGCTATGAACTGTTTCCACTTTTTGACGTCACCTTTTATCCATGACAACATAATGGCAGAATCTGTCCACATCGTGTAGTCAAATTGAACATTCCTCAAAGCGATTTTCACGTATGCCAACATTCTTGAGCCGATTAAGGCAGCCAGCAGCTCCAATTGTGGTAGCGTTGTCTCCTTAATGGGTACGACACGGGACTTCGCAATCAACAGTATCGGCTCCTCAGGACTTGATACGACATATATCGCTATTCCGTATGCCGCTGAACTGGCATCGCAGAAAACATGTACTTGAAGCACATTAAGCTTCCTTGCTCCGCCGCCCAGATAGCGAAGAACGACGACGTCTTGCAGTTGCGGCAGCTGGATGACCCAATCATTCCATTCTTTTTGCAGGTCATTGGGTAGTACTTCATCCCAGCCAATTCCTCGTATCCACAGTCTCTGAAACAATATTCGTATGGCAATAGTATATGGTCCTACAAATCCCAATGGGTCAAACATTCTTGATGCTGACTGCAAGACAAATCGTTTTGTATTCGTCTGTGCTGTCAAAAACCGGAGTAGATTTTCAACCGAAAAGTTGAATTCATCCTTTGCAGGATTCCAAACCAAACCCAGAACCTTGACCGACATTTCGTGAAGAACGACCATCTCATTACTAGTATATTCCACTTGATTTTCAAGCATGCGCATCAAATTTGCTGAATTTGTTGTCCATTTTCGCAATGTCATGCTGGCCGATTTCATTATTGTGCGAGCTTCTCGGCATAGTTTAGCGGCTTCCTCTTTTGTGTCGGCACCAGTGACTAAGTCATCCACGTAAAACGGCTCGGCAAGAGTTTGCGCTGTTTGTGCCATGACAGCCGGTGCTCTTTTCACGTGGTAGAGAATAGTAGCTGTGAGCAAAAACGGGCTACATGTAGCTCCAAAAGGCACTCGTGTCATCCTCCACTCTTGCAGCTTGCCCTTGGATAAATCTCCTTCTGCAAACCAGAGAAAGCGGAAAGCGTCTCTGTCGTCCTCCCGAATCGCAATCTGAAGGAATGTCTTTTCTATGTCCGCGATAACTGCCACCGGGTGCGACCTGAAGCGTAGCAGAATTTGCACGAGGTCTTGGTATAAGTTGTCACCCTTTTCAAGGCAGTCATTAAGGGACTTGCATCATTTGGCATGTGACGAAGCGTCAAACACCACTCTCATTTTCGTCATCAGTGCTTGTTCCCGCATGACTTCCTTGTGCGGCATGTAATATAATTTTGTCACCTCTGCAGATACGTCACTGACTACTTCGGCGTGTCCTGCCCTCAAGTACTCCCTTATGGTACGGTCATACGTTTCGAGCAGTCCTTTCCTGGAGTCGAGACAATTGACAAGCTTGTCCAGTCGAGTAACGGCTACTTGCCTGTTGCTTGCAAGCTTGAAATTATCCTTCCAAGGGAGGGTCACTTCATATCTTCCGTTTATAAAGCTAATCGTTTGCTCAAAATGCCTCATGGTGTTGCTCATTTCAGGTAGCTTGTTTATCGTGTCCGTAATTCCTGTGTTTTCAAGTTCCCAAAAGGAGCGCAAAATATCGTCAAAATCGGTAGCTTGGGCTTTTAGCACACACACCATCATTTTTGAAGTAGTTGGTCGGGACACCAAGTGCGATGTGCTTTCCTAAAAGGTCCATCCAAGCTTGGAGTTCAGTGCGATCAATGATTCGTTGCCTTCGCACCGTGAAACTTCACCGGTCAACACTTTCCACATCTGATCGGACCCGATAAGTACGCTGATGCCACTCTTAGTTATGATAGATGGATGTTGGAGCTCATCGGCAACATCGTTTCCCAGCTTCTTGAAAGACGCAACGAAGGCTACGTCCATTGCAGTCTCTGCGATGTCTTGGCAGATGCTTGGGATCTCTATTGCAGTTAAGACTATTTCCGCGTCGGAAAACTGGCTTCGCAGTCGTAGTTCTACTATGCGACGCCTCTTAGCCTCTTGGTCCGATGTATTTGCGAAAGTATTGAAGGCTATTCGAGTTGCTCCCATGCTTTTCAGCTTGAGGTGCTTGGACAGATCTTCAGTTACGAAAGTCCTCTGACTGCCACCATCAAAAACGGCTCGTATGTAGCGGCAGGTGTCATCATTCATGGCCCATGCTCTGAAAGTCTGAAGAAAAATGCAAGTGGTAGAGCCTTCCTTGACGGGTCTTCTTCCAAGTGATACGCAGACTGTCGTAGTTTTTTCGTAGTTCTTGTTAGCATAGTCTGACTTCCGCAAACACCTGTCGGGATCGCACATGCTTGTAGTGTGTCGAGCTTGGCATCTGGAGCAGGAAATCCTCTT